GCATGAGAAGACTATTAAAAGTCTAAAAATACCTTTCACACCATATTTTTTTCAAGGCTCCGAAAAAGGAAAAAAATCGACTAAAGAAGGAAAAAGAAAACATGTTTAGACAAGGCTTTAAATGTTTCATAACTTTAGCAATGTACAATGGGTCTGATTGATAAGCATTGATAGAGGAAAATAAATGAGAGGAAAATAAATTTTTTCTTGTTTGTACCAATCAAATAAAATTTAGAAGAATTTTTATTCTTCTTAAAAAATCGAAAAATAACTTAAATGGAAGAATTCTTCCCACTACAAATACATAGTAGAAAACAATTTCTTCTAAAAGTGACTTTGTTTTTCTTCTAAATTTTTCTTATCATTTCTTCTACTTGAATAACCAATCACACTCAATATTTTTTTCTTTTGGAGCATTTTATGGTCCCATGACTACCATATTAGTGGTAGACATTCTTTTTAACGTTATTAGGGTGGGGGGAGGGGGCGTAAAACTCTTACCAAAGAATATGAATGAGAAAAAATGTATCTATGTTTAAATAGTGAACGCAAAAGATTTTCAAAATTTAAAACGGACAAAACTTTAGGTTCTTTTTTTTTTAAACTATATAATTAACATTGTACTAAATGAAGTTGAATAATATTATTTTAACAACTAAAAAACTACTAATACTTCGGTCGACTATCGATTCTATATTTTTTAAGAGGAAGAAAAAATGGTAACCGATACCAAAATACTTAAAATAGGTAAGAGATAATGGTTTTGGATGCCATAGAATGGCAATGGACTCAAACCAAGGAAGAGACGGCACCCGCAACTACAGAGATCGCTCCTCAAGTTTTCCCATCAAACCTCATCACATGTTACACGGACGCAGTCTGGAAAGCTGACTCTAAATACGCAGCTTAGGGTGGGTTTTTCTTTATGGACCAGCTATGACCATGATTGAAGAAAATGAATCCATCTTTAAATGAAAAAAAAAATAATATAAATGAGAACAAATTTACCCATCTTTAAATAGTGAGCGAAGAAGATTTTCAAATTTTAAAAAGACAAAACTTTAGTGCTCTTTTTTTTGTTAACTATATAATTAACATTGTACTAAGTGAAATTGAATAATATTATTTTAACAGCTAAAATATTACTAATACTTTGGTCGACTATCGATTCTATATTTTTTAACGGAAAGAAAAAATGGTAATCGATACCAAAATAGTTAAAATAAATAATATTAATGTTGTTAATATAAAAAAGGTTTTACTACTGTTTAATGAAGAAAAAAAATTCCATTTTGATCTAAGCTAGGCGGATGACACGTGAAGCAAATGCAAAGACGTACATACGTATGCGTGTTATACAGTATACGTTATTAAATTGCTGTGTTAAAAATGGGAAATGTTTCGAAATAGATTTGATTTCGAAATCTATATACGACTATCTACTCTACGAATTTCAAACACTTCCTTTTAATGTATAGATTAAGAAAAACATGTCACTTTTGAGAAAAAGAACGTGGAGGAATGCATTCTCCTCAAATTTTTAACCATTTACAAGGAATTTTTTGTCTTCAACATTTAGAATCTTTCAAATTTTAAAGTCATTAAATTTATGATTTTATAAATTTAATAAAACCTTGTGTTAATCAAATTAGATGAATTTTCTTTTTCATTGTATAAAACTTGTAACATTTTTCTTGATTTATTTTGAAATTTTAACCTAGGTTGCATGGAAATTTCGATCAAGGTATGTTTCCCGTTTCAAAAACGGAAGCGCGATAGAAACGCGGAGAAACGCGTTTTAAAATTTTTTTAATTTGAAAACGTGATGGAAATGTGATGGAAACGCGGTTATTGATTTGGAAACAAATTATATACATAGTTTTAAAATTATGGATTTATTTTTTATTATTAATAAATTTTAAACCCTAATTATAGAATGTCCATATTTTCTTTCTTTTTTAAATACCTGAGTTTGAGTGCTGTTTTTTATTTTTTAGTTAAACTATTTAATATTTATGTATTGGATTTGTGTTGTTTCAGTTATTTTTCTTTAATATGGTTTTAACTTTTGATATTTTTTTGTTTCATGATATATATTTTATTAATATATATATACTCGTTTCCAAAATGTTTTGTTTCCTCTTTTTTCTTAAATACTCGTTTCGGCATTTTCAAACGTTTTGCTTCCGCATATCCGTTTTCGATTCCATGCAACTTAGATCTTAACATTATATCATATTTAAAATGTCAAATAGCAAGAGATAATTTACTATAGTCTATGATGGAGATGGCAAATAGTAATGGAAAGAAGAAAAAAAGTGTAAATTGATTGCTACATTCAATGCTAAGAATTTACTCATAAATCTAATGCAGTAATCAAATCTATTTATAAATGTATTATTGAGGGCCTTATTAATGATAGGAAATTGCAAATGCATTCCTGTACTTTTCCTAATTATTGAGTGTAGCAAATATGATCTGGCGAATCTTTCCAACCAATAATTTTCTCGCATTTTTCCAATCGCGAGATATGGTTTCACATTAAAAGTATTATTCGTTGTTTATAATTATAAACTAGTTGATTCTCCGTTTCATACGCGAATTAACTTTTTATTTATACTTTTCAAATTATAAACGGCAAATATATAGAAAAATATTTGAACTTCAACTTTAAAAAAACATTATCGAAACTACTAATTGATATATATTTTTTTGGTCAACCAACTGCTTTATTAAATATCTCAAGGATTCAAAAGATCCATAAATGAAAGTTCGAGCTCCAATAGAGCTTCCTTAGCAGTAGAATCAGCCAAATAAATCGGCTTCTCTAGGGATATAACAGAACGAAGAAGAGCAAAACTAATAGGTGAATATCATCTAGAATACCATGCATCTCCGTTGAAATTTCCTTTGAGTTTATCCGCTATATTAGTCCTTTGCAGGCGGATATTAAATGGACTTTTGTAATTCCACGCGATGCAGCTTGTTCAAGCCCGAGCCTAATCGCCCATGCTTCAGCCGCCATGGCTGAGGGGACGCCCCGACGACATCCCGTACAAGCCTCAGTAGAAGTGTCAAAAGGCTTTTGGAAAATGCACCCTAAACCACAAACAAGGGACTTCCAAGCTGCGTCAACAAAACAAAGGACTCCCTCACGTATCTTAGCTTGAGTGTCCGGTGTAGGCTGACCACATCTCTGTTTTGGGAGTAGGAGCTGAGCTGCTCGCCATTGTTTGGCTTCGTAAATGGCCTTAACCACAATATCTTGGGCCGAGAACACTTTATCTCCAAAAATAAATTTTTTTCGGGCTATCCAAATGAACCAACACAACCACGAATATAGAGGCATATCGCATCCTGATGGTGGAAGGTTTATAAGCTTCTTGAGTTCCTTAAGCATCTCTGTCATTTAAAGATCTAGTTGGAGTATGTCAGTTTGGGCAAATGAGGCAAAATTCCAGCAATCTTGTGCAAAAGGGCAGTGGAAGAGGGCATGAGGGATAGTTTCAAGAGCGCCATATCTTATGCTGTTAGGATCAGGCAGAATATCCCGTCGTTGAAGGAGCTCCCCAACCAGTAGTGCATTCACCGCAGTTTTCCAGAGAAATGATCGAATCTTAGGGATAGTTGGGAGTTTCCAAATGTGTGAGGACCAGTTAAAGTCCAGTGCAGTGGTGTCTCAAACTCCATTCGGGCCACTGCATAGCCTGATTTTGTGGTGTAAATGCCATTCTTGGTTGAGAGGATTATGCGA